GGTTCCGGTGGGCTAACGACGAGCCGGAGGAATCCTTCTCGTCGAGCATTCCGATCGCCAAATCGACCAGAGCCTTTTCCGCCCGGCGGAGCTGCCCCTCTCCGAGCGGTCTCTGGCCGCTACCTACGCCGCCGGCCCCGGTGTCCAACGCACAGATCACGATCTCGATCAGTTTCTGCCACTGGCGGATCTGCTCAATCCCGTCGCGGATCGCGTTGCAGACATCGAGCGCCTTGACGCTCCTCTCGAAGTAATCGGAAATCAAGCGGTCCATAGGAGGATTCTGGAGCTGAGACCTGTGGTTAAAGATAATGGCACGAAACTCCTCCTGGCAACAGAGGAACGCATCGAGGAGCATCCCAATCCACTCGACCGACAGAATCTCGTCGGCTCCGGTGACGGTGAGATCGATAAACCTCTCGGCGACCTGCTTCTGGAACGAATCCAACTCAACCTCCATGGAAGTCGACTCGTGAGCTCCCGTGGAGTTCACCGGATGCGATTGGTCACGCCGCAGACCCAGTAACGACCTACCAAACGTTCTTTGATAATCCGTCGCCGGCATCCTCAGGAGAAACTTTTCCCTAGGAAATCTGATTCTCCTAGAAAGTTATGCTTCACGTGAGAAATTTCGAAATAAACAAAAAAGGCCTTTTTTTGCCAAAGAGAAGTAGAATGATGAAGAAACCCTAGGGGGAGGCGACTGAGCATATAAGGGGAGATTTTGGACAGCGTTTTAATGGTTGTTGGGTGATAAGAATGGCCCCCCTCTCTTGTCCTCACCCCTCTTTATAGGCATTATTCCTTCAATCTCCAAAAAAAAAAAAAAAAAAAAAAACAATTACTGACAAAATCGAGTTTGAATCTAAATTTTCATATAAAAAAATCATTAAACATAATTTCTTTTCAAAGTCAAAACTTAAAAATAATCAACCCTAAATCCCAAATATTAATGGCTATATCCAAAGTACTAGATTATGTTTTTGTGAAATTATTTATACAGGAAATTATATGTTTACAAAAAGTTTTTGCTATCAACAAACGGTGGAACCAATTTGAGCTCTCTCTATGTGTGTGGCGAGATTTTCTTCTGTGAATCTAATTTTTTCTTGATTGGATTAAGGAAATATTATTGGTTAAAAATCAGTTATTCATCATTAAAAATGTATTTAAATTTATTTTATAAATTGTTACTTGACAGACATTCTCAGCATAACCTTTAAATTCCCCCGAATATTCTTTTTTTTCACATGATATTAGTTAATGTCTGTCAAATGGTTTTTTTTTAAGGATAACATGAATGTGGATTTTATCACATGAATACATTGATCTCATAATAATAATGATGATTATATTTACTAAATATGGTTAGATTTTATTCAGCTAAATTGGATATATAGATAAAATACTCGAACATTACTTTCTATTTAAATTCACTCGTCCCACACACGCAATGGACACGTTCACAACAATATCTCTCTATTTGCTATGGGCAACGTGAAATCTCAGCCGTCAGATTAGCCATGACGGGTATTTTGGAGGCACGGGCTGTGATATACGGAAAAGCAAGGAGGAGTTCAGGAGCTGCCACGTGGAGATTCTGAGGACAGACCTGTGACGAGGAGAGGGGAGACAATTTCAATGCACACGTGGCAAAGGACAGCTAAGTCCTCGTTGGCGCGTAACGGAGAGAGAAAACGACCTGGCTTGGTCCCGTTGATTCGACGTTTCTTGCTTCGTACATCATTCTAGAAAGCTACGAGAGACAAGTACCTTTTTCTTTTTCATTTATTTTCCTTGCATGTTGAAAATTTTATAAAATTTTAAAATTAAATAATGAACACTATGCATGCATATGACAAAGTCCAACATTTATAACGCTGAACTATAACATTTTTTTTCGCATATTCTTGTTTATCTTTTGACTGTTTCGTACATATTTTTGTTATATTTTGAGCAAACTCATTTTTTAGTGTCGGAAAGAAAATGGGCACAAATAGTTTAAGAAGAAGAAATTTACACAAATGATAGAGTCAATTATTTTTTGAGACTTATATATGGGGTGTAAATCAGGGTGGATAGCACGACTCGTTCGATCTGGAAATATTTTAGTCCAATCCGGTCTGAGCTATTTTTAACGAATCAAAAATAGATTAGTCCAACCCAAATTGTCTTAATCCGCAAGCCAAACGAGTCGATCCGTGAGTTAAATATATAATTTTAAATTTTTTTAAAATATTTAAAAAATATTAAAATATAATAAAAAAAATTTAAAATTTTAAACAAAAACAAACTAAATATCTAATAAAAATACAATTTTTATATAAAAATTAAAAATTTTAAAAATAATTTTTTTGGCCTGCGAATCAGTCTGGTGATATGCCAAGGTGGCTCGCCATGAGTCCGACTTGCGACGAGATACTTCGTTTGGCCCGTTTTTTTTGTTCAAATATTCTAAGCCCGATTGAAAAAAAAAAAAGGTGGTTCAC